AATATATATATATATATATATATATATATACTTATATAACATATCTTATCTAACTTATTTAACATATTTATATTAAAAAGTATACATTTTTTATTTTTCAAAAATGACTGATTCACTTTGACCGAATCACTAAAAAGAACTTGAAAGATTGATTCACTCACAAAATGGATAGATGCAATATGGCTTGTGACTAAGAGGCACACACAGAACATATTTTTGCATCCCACTGTGCTACTTTTCCATTGTTTTCTATGTATACACTCTATGTCAAAACAGCATTCTAAAAACTGCCTGCATCTCAAATTTTTTGAAGCAAAAACGCATTCTGCCTGAATAAGTATTACTCTACACAAGAGCAATTTTTAGCAGCTGAAATATTTTACAGCTCAGTATAGTTTGAAAACTGTATGTTCATTATAGAAATTTCCATGACTGTTCTTAGAAAAAAATAAATAAATAAAAAATGTCCTGACATTGCCATGTTTTCCATGACCTTGGGATAACTGATTAATAAGTCATTGGAAACTGTGTATTACAGTGTTATTAGGCATGTTATACAGTTAGTATGTATCTGATACTGTATTGAAAATATTTCTATTTTGGATTCTTGTCTAATTCATTACATTTTTCATTAGAAATTAAATGGGTCAGTATAACAATTTGAGTGAATAGTTGATCATTTGATTAGAAAGTAGTACAATTAATTTTAGAATGCAGAATCATAATATCTGATAGCAATTTGAGTAAAAAAGTAGTCAAATTAATTTTAGAATGCAGAATTCAGAATGCTACAGTATTAGGTAAAACCTGATGATCATGTTATCTAGTATTTTTTTTTTAAATAAAAAAATACCAGATTTGAAAAAAGAGGTCTCACACTCTTGGGCCCCACTGTAAATTCACCCAGAATTCAATTAATGTGCAGTCACAGGTATGCATATAACTTCAGGCGGGGACTATGCATCTTATAAGGTCTGTTTGGCATGTGGATGTAATGAAAAGTCTCACCCTTCGAGAGGTGTTAAGCAGCACACAGCCGTGGACATCAGATTCTGTAGGAAAAAGAGAATAGGAGGCCTGAGGGGTGAATACAGTGTGCCAAAACAACAACCATCATAAAACAGGTTTTAGAGTTTTTAAGAAGAGAACGACTAGTTTCAAAGTAACACTCTGATAGCATAAAATCATTTAAAAAAAAAACAGCAACAGTGAACATAAAAGCCATCTGCATCAGAGAGCCCCTGTTGTGATCTCCTCAACTTAACCCAACATCACAAATATCTGCTATGAAACAGTTCAGTCCCTGAATACAAAACAAAATATCACTCCCACAACACTGTTTACTAGTAACCGCCAAATACATCACAGCATACTCCATGGATCACAAGCATTGTACGGGACATACACGTGTACGTGCATGTGTTGCCGTGTCCCTGTCTGTCCTTTATTTGCTTAATTCATGTTTGGTATTGTCCTCAGGTTTGCAGTTGAGCTTGAAACCCTCACGTGATGGCTGCATGCTAAGTCCTCCTCCATATAGAGATTATATAAAGCAGACAGCCTTTATCAAATAGAGATCCCTCAGTCCTGTGCGCGTGGGCCTCAAGAAGTCCTGCCCCTGGAAAGAGATATTCAGGCAGGATTACCACGACCTGCGGCTGACTCCTCCACTGCCTTAGCTCCAAGATTAAACAGCCCCTCAGATGGGTTTGGGATTAAAAGGGGAAAATTGAGAATAAAAGCACAGCTTTGGGGTTTAATAAGAGGTAAGTCTATGTGTTAAACTAATAAGGTTACATAACCTCTCAAACCTTTTAATGGCTTACCGTCACCACGTTAAACCGGTTATTTTATTCTCTCCTCTTCCATCCTTCTGTCCTTCTATCACTTTTCCATTTGTCATCTGTATTTTCAGATGTTTACAAGTATGCAATATACATTTAGCAATTATGTGAGGTCATATCATGTTGAACTGAAATGTACCGCATTATCTAAACACCTAATTAAAGCTCAGTGAGTTGCTGGATATAAAATTCAAAACCACTGTATTAACATAAGATAAATGGCAGCATTAATTGAGCTCGAACTACACTGGTGCAAACCCTAATCCAAAGAGAATTCAGCAATTAGCCAGTTATCAAAACCACATCCAATCAAACCAGCATCAATGATTTCCCGGAGGCTGGTAATAGTCAGATGTATGTTCACCCCTGTGGTCTTCTGAAATGAGGAGCCAAAGCCCCTCTATCTGTTTACTTTAGTATTTACTTTAGTATTAAGTCTAATGTAAATTCATGTTCCATTGTAGTTTACATAGTTTATTGGTTAAAATTTGGAAATGTACCTTACACTTGGGACTATCAACAAGCAGCAAACTGTAATAATACAGTAATAATTTTGTATATACAGTATGAGTTGTATATACATTATCGTTCAAACGTTTGGGGTCATTTTTGATTTTTGAAAGAAAGATTTTTGATGCTTTTGAAAGAAGCCTCTTATGCTCACCAAGGCTGCATTTATTTGACATTACAGTAAAAGTAGTAATATTGTGAAATATTATTAGAATTTAAAATAACTGTTTTCTATTTGAATATATTTGAAAATGAAATTTATTCCTGTGATGGCAAAGCTTAATTTTCAGCATCATTACTCCGGTCTTCAGTGTCACATGATCCTTCAGAAATCTCTCTAGTTGTGTTGCTTACTGTTTTTGTGGAAACTATAATACATTTATTCAGAAATTTTTATGAATAGAAAGTTTAAAAAACAGAATTTATTTGAAATAAAAATAGAAAACAGAAATAGAAACAGCATTTAGTCTGTTGGGATATGTCTCTGTCTCTAGCTTTGCACATATAGACTTTGCAACATTTGCCCACTCTTCTTTGCAGAACTGCTCAAGTTCAGTTCAATTTGATGGTGACCAAATCACATAACTAAAAACAAGTTACATCATAGTCTCATAAAGTTTATAAAATAACGACTTTATTCAACAATTTCTTCTCTTCTGTGTCAGTCTTCAACAACACGCATTCACGAAGAAGAAATTGTTGAATAAAGTCGTTATTTTTGTTTTCTTTGTGCACAAAAAGTATTTTTGTAGCTTCATAATATTACAGTTGAACCACTTATCTCACATGGACTTATTAACGATGTCCTTACTACCTTTCTGGGCCTTGAACGTGTCAGTTGTTTGCTGTCTACACAGGGTCAGAAAGCTCTCGGATTTCATCAAAAATATCCTAATTTGTGTTCTGAAGATGAACGAAGGTGGTTTGGGTGAACTATCCCTTTAAACGTTATTTTTACATTACTTCAGAAATAATGACTACAATAATACAATGACAAGCACATTTCATGTACCAATTATGTCAACAAATCCTCAATAAATACTGAGAGTGTGGAGAAGGTTGTGGGCATGGTGATGAATTTTTAATTTCACCAAACTGCATGGTTGCTAAAAACTGGCTCACTTACAGGTAATTTCTTGTTTTTCAAGAAATTCAAGTTAATTTTGACATGAATGCAACAGAAACTGGTCATGGCAGTGGATGAGCTGTTTACTCTGACATCAGTCCATCCATTTCCTGCAGTCTGACCCATTCAGTCAAATTTGTGGAAGAGTAATCAGCCAATCATAGTGCTGCCAAGAAGGACATTGCATTCCTCACATTTACGCCATGCTACAGGACAGTGATGAGAACTCAGCGGGCTCAAGGGAGGCAAAAGAGATGCTACCTCCCTCTAGAACTCTACTGACTTGTGTGCGACTGTGTTACTTCAGAAAAATTAGTGGTTTAGACATAATTTGATCTAATATTAGGTAATATTTGTTTTGCTTTATTTTTGTAGTATGTAATTATTTCTCACCACCCCTGCTTCACCCCCAGCAATCAAGCAGCATTAAAAACCCAGCAGTATGCTAAATAACATGGCTGGGTGTTCGGTTCAGCCAACTGCTGAAATCATGGGAATTATCACTTCAAATGAAATGTTTGGAGGCCCTGGTTTATTCAAACACACATGCACACACACATGCGTGCATCCCACACAGTTCAAACTCTTAGCAGTATGTCAGAGGAGTGGAATTTGGTTTTAATCTAGACAAGTGCTGACGGCTTGTGCGCCGAGGATGACAGAACATCAGACCGGATGAGACAACGTGTGAACAAACCCCACTCATCCTAATGTGAGCCCACCAAATGCACAGCAGGAGTCAGAAAATAGAATTTAAAACAGAACTAACTGTATTTGAGAAAACACAGAGAACATTTGCTTGTCTGATTCTGGGTCAGCTGTCTACTGATATTACTGAAGCTGCGCTCACTTTCAACAGCAGCAACGCATCAGGGCAAATAGCAACCCTATTAATAGATATGTTACATCATCCATAAGACATTATAAGTTTCAAAAGTTTTCAGTTATGCAAAACAGTAAACGCAGCAAAAATCTTTAATGGGGCTATATTGTAGCATTTTTTCCCCCTTGAAGGCCAATTATAATGTTACTCGAGGTTTCATGCACCAAAAACAGTTGTTGTTTTACATGGCCATTTTCCAGACTCTTTCTGATCCGTTTTTAAACAGGCTGTTTTTCCAACAGTACCTACAGAACTTTTTATATGTAAATTATTTGTAATTAGCTAAACTCCACATTGGTTTCACACCGCAAGCTTGAGCTTCGCGTCAGCTTCACGTTCGCAAAACTACATCGCCACTGCAGCTGCAGACTTGCCAGATTATTCACACTGGAAGTGTTTGTACAGCGTCACAGCAGCGGCTCCTAAGCTACACTGTAAAAAATGACTGTGAATTTAACGGTAAAAGACTGTAAAAATGCTACAGTAAAAACCTGTTAAATGGTTATGAATAACCGTAAATTGACTTTCCCAGAATTCCCTGCATTACATTTAAAATTTGATGGTTTTTTTTGTTGAAATAACTATGTTTCTTCTTAGTTTTTTCTTATCAGTTTTGTATATTAGGGTTGTATGTTACACATAATGTTGTTAAATGAATGTTTATTGCATTATTGCAGTTTCATGTGTGTTACCATGATGGTGTTGACTGCTCTAAAATATGAGACACCAGTGTTTCAGGAGTTTAGAAAACAGAATAGGACACATGCTTATATTCGATAACTGCTTTATTTACTATTTGAGTTTATGTATATGTTTTATTTTAATTTTTTTTCCAAGGCATTGTTATATGCCAGTGTTTCCTGTCATAGCTATGCAAAGATTTGAAGATTTCAAAAACAGTATCATAGCTATTAAACTATATCTTGTTATTACTTTAAATCTGCATTTAATCTCAAAATTATCTCAAAGTAAAAAGAGTTGCTAAAGTCAGATTTTTAAAATAAAAATATTATAATCTTAATTTAAGTGATGAGGGATTTTGAAAGTTTTACAGTAATCAGTGTTGAGTCCTACTGTAAAGTTAACCCTGCATGGTTTAAATGTTTGAAAATGATTAACAGTTGAAAACATTTGTTAGAAATGTAAAAAGTAATCAAAAAAGTAGCCAAATGTAATCAGTTACATTTCTTTAATAAAGTAATTGAAATAGTTACACTACTTATTACATTTTAGATAGGGTAACTTGTAATCTGTAACCTATTACTTCAATAGGTTGGTATAGTAACATTATAACAGTTAATGAAATGATGGTATTTAACTGTAAATTTAAGTTAAAACCGTAAAACCTAAAATGTTGTTACCATATTTTTTACGGTAAAATTCCGGCAACCACAGCTGCCGTTTTTTTACCGTAAATTTTATGGAATTTTTTTAAAGTGTACACATTTCTTTACAAAAAGAGCTATACATTTGTTTTTACAAGTTGGTCAGTAATAAACTTGAAAGTTTTAAAGTCTTGAAAGTTTGTTAACATGGGGATTTGCATGCAAATAGTAAACAACAAAAACAGCTCTGATTATGTCCTTTCAGTCATACTTTGATATAGAACATGCTGTTTATGTTTTTTATAAAGCACTTTTTGTGTGAAATCATATTTATTTTCTCCATCAAAGTGTGCTGTCACTTCGAAAACATTGTGAATGCACTCATTTGTTAACATGCACGCTGAAAAAATACCCGCTGCTCACGTGCCGCTCACGCTTGAGGTGTGAAACCGGCCTAACAGTGTAGTGCACTTTCGTTGTTCATCAGGACAGGTCAAGTTGTTATATATTATAGTTGTTTAACAGTCAGCAACCTCGGAGCATGTGATTCATTGGTACTTATGTACTTAAGTTTGTGTAAACGCACCTTTTTGCAGATGTGGAGCACATCCAACATACAGATTTATGAGAGATAGCAAAAGCTTTGTTCAGACAGAACTAGATTTACCTGAGATTAGGTAAATATGTATTTCACAAAAACACATAACTTTTTTTTTTTCCACAACCACTATAAAAATTACCAGTCAAATTGCCTAATGTTTTTTAGCTAATTCAGTCCCATGAGAATTGTAATCCAGTGTCTTTGACTGCAATATATTATTATTTCTCCTCATTTCTTTTGACCTTTGTTGAATACTGTAGCTAAACGTTTCACGTTGTGCTGCCTGGTGAATCTTCATTTTGGATTTAGACAACTTTATTGGCAACTTTCCAAATAAAATATCAGTTGGTTGTTCATGTACTGCTAGCATCTCATATTATTTAAAAAGAGAGTTATATCAGTGTTTTGTATCTATAAACAGTAAAGATTATAGATACAAAACAATGATGAATGATGATGAGAAATGATGAATGCAATAACATTTGTTTTCCAAACAATGTCCATTCTTCCTTGCAGACTTTAGATAATGTTTATCAGTGGTTTTTAAAAGCAACTATTTGGCCTTTTGCATGCACTATATACTAAAAAGTAAATTACAATGGAGATGTCAACGGTTTCCATTGTTTTTTTTTCCAATTGTCATCTTTGATTACATTTTCCTGCAGAGACTGAGGTCAGAAAGAGGAGAAGACGACTTTGTGTGGTTTTGAGTGACAACAGATGACCTGTGGGGGTGCGCGACATAATCACAGCACACCTGAGACTGTTGCCGTGGCAACAACTGACCTGCTAACCTGAGCATCTCCAGAGCTAATCAACAGCTCTGGGTCTAACTGCCATCCCACCCTGAACTCGCTCGCAAACACACACATTCACTGACCTGTCCCTCCTTGGTGTGTCTGGCTGCCGTAGAGATGAATGTCATCTCCTGATGGGATGGGAGAGTCCTGGCCCTCCTCTTGCTCCTCGCTCCCTTCCTCATGTTCTTCTCTCTCCCTCTGCTCTAAGAGCAGACACACACACACCCAACAGCCTCAATCTATATATACTTTTTAACATATTTTAATACACACAAAATGTTTGTAAATATTACATAAAAATTACAAATGCTACAGTAAAAACATGCTAACTGTCAGCTACCTTACCAAATACAGTGAAAAACTGTAAATGGTTTAACATCATTTTATATGTAATTTTACAGTAAAATACTGTCAAATATATGTTTTTTTTCTTTTTGCAAATAAAAACTGAATTAGCATATAATTTACTAAAAGACATTCCCAAAAGTCATATATGATTATATTTTATGCAAATAATTTAGTTTCTTCTCATTTTTGATATCGGTATGGTACATTATGGTGTTTTGTGTTCCACTTTGTTATTTGTGTTGTGTTTACTACATTATTTTAGTGTCACATGTTACTCTGATGGTGTTTTGTCTTTGTGTGTATGACCCTGTGCACTGTCTATATAAGAATATTAGCTATGTCTGATTCATTATGTGGCTTTCTAATGAACCACTTGTATTATTATGATGGTTATCAGCACATTTTAAAGGTAAAAAGCAGATTTTGGTAGTTTAAGTTGCTTGGTATTTTAACATTATATCACTTAATGAACTATATGATTATAAGTTGTAAAATATACAGGCACCAATATGCAGTGTTTGGGAGTAACTAATTACATGTAACAGTGTTACGTAATTTAATTACAAAGTAAATTTAACTGTAATCAGTTATGTGTAATTAAATCAGTTACTTATGAAAATGTTAATGATTACAAAGGGGGTTACATCAGAATATTTTCACACACACCCACATACAGATTTAATTCATTTATTTCCCAAATTGCATTGACTGCTCTAAAATATGAGACACCAGTGTTTCAGGAGTTTAGAAAACAGAATAGGACACATGCTTATATTCGATAACTGCTTTATTTACTATTTGAGTTTATGTATATGTTTTATTTTAATTTTTTTTCCAAGGCATTGTTATATGCCAGTGTTTCCTGTCATAGCTATGCAAAGATTTGAAGATTTCAAAAACAGTATCATAGCTATTAAACTATATCTTGTTATTACTTTAAATCTGCATTTAATCTCAAAATTATCTCAAAGTAAAAAGAGTTGCTAAAGTCAGATTTTTAAAATAAAAATATTATAATCTTAATTTAAGTGATGAGGGATTTTGAAAGTTTTACAGTAATCAGTGTTGAGTCCTACTGTAAAGTTAACCCTGCATGGTTTAAATGTTTGAAAATGATTAACAGTTGAAAACATTTGTTAGAAATGTAAAAAGTAATCAAAAAAGTAGCCAAATGTAATCAGTTACATTTCTTTAATAAAGTAATTGAAATAGTTACACTACTTATTACATTTTAAATAGGGTAACTTGTAATCTGTAACCTATTATATTACAGCTGCCAATATCCCATAACACTGGAAACATTGTCATCATATTTTTACAGCGAATTTCTGGCAACCACAGCTATTTTTTTTTTTACTGTAAATTTGACAGGATATATTTTACAGTATAGCACAGTATACAATATTGATTTACAACAGCACACTATTAATTTACTCTTCATATAAATAAAATATAATAAAATAAATATCTAACTTCTACTAATTCTTATTAATATTACTGAACTTTTCATATCTACTTAATGATTACAAAGGGGGTTACATCAGAATATTTTCACACACACCCACATACAGATTTAATTCATTTATTTCCCAAATTGCATTGACTGCTCTAAAATATGAGACACCAGTGTTTCAGGAGTTTAGAAAACAGAATAGGACACATGCTTATATTCGATAACTGCTTTATTTACTATTTGAGTTTATGTATATGTTTTATTTTAATTTTTTTTCCAAGGCATTGTTATATGCCAGTGTTTCCTGTCATAGCTATGCAAAGATTTGAAGATTTCAAAAACAGTATCATAGCTATTAAACTATATCTTGTTATTACTTTAAATCTGCATTTAATCTCAAAATTATCTCAAAGTAAAAAGAGTTGCTAAAGTCAGATTTTTAAAATAAAAATATTATAATCTTAATTTAAGTGATGAGGGATTTTGAAAGTTTTACAGTAATCAGTGTTGAGTCCTACTGTAAAGTTAACCCTGCATGGTTTAAATGTTTGAAAATGATTAACAGTTGAAAACATTTGTTAGAAATGTAAAAAGTAATCAAAAAAGTAGCCAAATGTAATCAGTTACATTTCTTTAATAAAGTAATTGAAATAGTTACACTACTTATTACATTTTAAATAGGGTAACTTGTAATCTGTAACCTATTATATTACAGCTGCCAATATCCCATAACACTGGAAACATTGTCATCATATTTTTACAGCGAATTTCTGGCAACCACAGCTATTTTTTTTTTTACTGTAAATTTGACAGGATATATTTTACAGTATAGCACAGTATACAATATTGATTTACAACAGCACACTATTAATTTACTCTTCATATAAATAAAATATAATAAAATAAATATCTAACTTCTACTAATTCTTATTAATATTACTGAACTTTTCATATCTACATACATACTGTACACTGTCCCCTGCTGACCCTATAAATTACTGGCAAACTAATATGTTAAAGTTACAATTAATTTACAAATTTAATATGCTACACTGTACATTTAATCCATCCATTCTGAATTGATATTTCAGCACGATAAGACAGTTCCTCAATGTAAACACAACAAGGCTTCAATAATCCATACATTTCTCTCTTTTTTCCTGTTGAATACAAAGTGTTCTTGGGGTTTAATACCCCACAGATGTGACTGTGTAGCCAGAGTGTGGCTGAAGCTGTGATTTATCCACACATGGAAGCTCGTTATTGTTCTCGCTTCTCTGGTTGAATGTGGCATGTGAGTGGCTATCGGTTCCATATCTTTCTCCTCATCTATTCATTTATTCACTAATCCTTCCCTCTATTATTCTCTATGTAAAGCTGGAGAGGAGAGGGGGCTGTTAATCCACGTGTGCTCATTGACTCTAATGCCCTGGACCTACAGTGAGCGGGCGAGAGGATATTCCTCTCCCCGACGACGGCACTCCCCTTTTTTCCCCTTTTCTCACTCGCTCTTTCAAGCTCAGAGCACCGTGGTTGATCATATTCATAAGTGTTTGATTCACTGAAAGCCTATTCATGAACAAATTAACTCATTTATTGAAAATACCCCCCATACTTTGTTATAATTACATACGTATAAACAAGAGCCCCTTGAATTAAACTGAGAGAGAGATGACATAAACAGTGATTTCTGAAATGGCATAATGAGGGAATACTTGAGAAATCTGAACATGCCACAAGCTTTACTTGTACTAACAAATTTTGCACAATTAATTTTACAGACATTTCCAGGCACTAGAGATTATTTATTTATTTATTTATGTATTTTTGCTCAGATTTTGCTGCATTGGGCTTCACTGCAGCAGAATCAGAGGCAGAAAACTTGTCTCTCATTGACACTGATGAGAAATCCAGAAATTTTATATTTTGAATATTCCTGCAAGTCAGAAATGAGGGCATGCTTTAAATACTGTAGAAAGGAGTTTCCTTCTGCCTGTGTTTTACTCCCAGCTTGACCTTCACAGCTCTCTTCCAGGCCATGTGTTGAACAAACAAACACACACCAACCAACTTCTACAAACATTCACTCACCCATCTCTTGATAGAAGTATCCATTCTTAGCCATCCCTGAGGGGGGAGCCTCTGGAAGAGAAATTAAAACCACAATTAACAAAAGACTTCAAATAACCACGAGTGTGTGTTAAATAACACAGCATGAATAAGTGTTTCTGATTACCGTAAGAGAACAAAGCAGGTTTGATCAAGCACTGATTCTTCAGTACTGGGACAAAACAGGTTATCTATCCAGCAATTATTATGGATTAATCTGTTCAACATGTTCGGTTGCTGTCTCTGGCCTCTATTTTCTTTTTTTAAATGTGTTTTTCTTCTCAATAAATGTCAACACCAACAGATACAAAAATAATGTGTAAAATAGTTATAAATATTGATCAATCTAGCATTCATTTTAATGAATAAATTAATTTAGACTACTGGATGGTTTCAAACTGATATTCAGCTTCATCTATTGAATTGTCACCACACTAAGACAGAAAATATTACAGTTTTGATGAAATTTTTTCTTTGGTTGCTACCACCAAGATCAATTTAAAATGAGGGAAATTTATTTAAACATTGACAGAGTTGACATATTATGGCTGCGATATGTGAAAATATAAGCATAATTACTTACATTTATTTTATTTTTTTCACAGAATTTCACCCACTATTAAACTTGTCTTTTTGACTTTTTGAACTCATAGCAGGTTAAATAGCTAAAAAGGACTTAAGAATGAAGACAGATTTTTAAAAGGTTTTGATGTTGACAAATTCCTTTTAAAAGAGTAATACTTTTAAAATTAACCTCCTTCTTCTATCAGAAGACATAGTAGTAATTTTTCATTAAAATATGCATATTTATATCTCTGTTGTTATTCAATTGAATATATATTTTGATGGATATGAGATTTTGTTATGGTCTAAGGACACCGAATTTGTGTTCAGGACATTCAAGTGTTAATCTTTGATTTCGTTCAAAACTGAAACATTGTTATTATCACTAATGACAGGTAAAGTTGTTTCATGTGTTGTCCCATGTCTCAAGAATCAGTGTGAATATGCAAACGTGAATATGCCATAGTCATGCCCTTACGATGGTCACCAAACAGTCACACACACTCCAAAGCACAATTCCACTGACACATATATACACACAAACTCACATATTTACTCCAGCATGCCCACACCCAGACATAAACACATGCACATGGAACCAGCACACATATTCCCACACCTGTGGCCTACATTCATTTGGTGCCATTTAAGGGGATATTTATGAGGTGAAATCAGCCGTGACTGAGGTTTCTCTTTCCCACTTTCTGACTCCCTTAATTGTCAGGTACCTCTCTTTCCAGCAAAACACCCTGCCTAAAAAGAGTATGCATGTATGGCTGGCATAAGTGTACCACAGCACTCACATTTTGGAGCATGAAAATAATATACACACGAACACACACAAAAACTTGCACATATCTCATCCTGTCGTACAGAGTACAGTCTACATCAGACGTAGTGACAGAGCGTTTGTCTCATATTTCTCTTCAGTGACAGCCCAAAAACATGAGCTGCTGTGCCGTTATATTCTGCAGGATGTACAAAAACAGAATTTGTCAGCACAGGAAACAGACTGTCTGAATATTAAGCTGATATGAAACTCCAATCAGCTGAGACTGGCCAGTCCAACATGAGAAGCCTCTGCATGCCTGACAACTCTCATTCTGGGCCTTAAATTAGCACTTATTTAAAATCAATAAAAACTTTCACTGAAGACTGAAGATTTATATGTAACAAAGACATAACTAAGCTAACATCCTTATGCTCATGTCACTACCTAAATCATTTTATACAATGATTTCTTGAGGGTTATTCTCACAGCTTTGGCATTAGTAATTTGACGCCAACGAAAACAAGGTTGTGAGCGATAGAAGAGCAGTCTGTTCAATATGTCGTACTGTCTCAAGGCAGTGTGATCTCTAGTATTGTGACAGCCTATGAACACACTCATACACATGCACATTAGTAAATGAAAGAGACACGTTGATGTTACACTGCAACATTAAATAAACCTGCATTTAAAATATCTTAGTTTCATCATTTACTAATAAACACCACACACCACTCAAGTCTTACAAGGTTACGTTTTAGATGCTGTCAATGTGCTTAATGCCTGTTCACACCAAGGATGATAAATATAAAGATAACGATAAAGATATAGTTCTTAAAATCGTTCTCAATATTAAAGAATAGCACTCTCATTCTGGGCCTTAAATTAGCACTTATTTCAAATCAATAAAAACTTTCACTGAAGACTGAATATTTATATGTAACAAAGACATAACTAAGCTAACATCCTTATGCTCATGTCACTACCTAAATCATTTTATACAATGATTTCTTTAGGGTTATTCTCACAGCTTTGGCATTAGTAATTTGACGCCAACGAAAACAAGGTTGTGAGCGATAGAAGAGCAGTCTGTTCAATATGTCGTACTGTCTCAAGGCAGTGTGATCTCTAGTATTGTGACAGCCTATGAACACACTCATACACATGCACATTAGTAAATGAAAGAGACACGTTGATGTTACACTGCAACATTAAATAAACCTGCATTTAAAATATCTTAGTTTCATCATTTACTAATAAACACCACACACCACTCAAGTCTTACAAGGTTACGTTTTAGATGCTGTCAATGTGCTTAATGCCTGTTCACACCAAGGATGATAAATATAAAGATAACGATAAAGATATAGTTCTTAAAATCGTTCTCAATATTAAAGAATAGCAGCTATAATGATAAAGGCACAGAGAAATTACATCGTTGGAAGCACTTTCAGAACGATTTTTTCCAGCTGATGAATGATAAAAACATTGACACCCAATCAGAATCAATCCTGCTATCATGAGCTCGAGAATTTAAAGCGGCAGATGAGTGTGAACTTAGAATAAACAGACAATATCGTCCACTGGTGTGGACGCTAATATAGTTATATTTATCGTTCTGGGTGTGAACGGGCCAATAGCATTAAACAATAGGCATTTAAATAGGTGTCTTCACACATATGCCTTCTACATTAATTTAAGGCCTTAAACACTGGTGGGAACAGAACAATGAATGTGATTTAAATGTATAAAGAAAAAACTAAAAAGAAAGAAAAATAGTAAAATAATTTATTGTAATGCATTTGGGCCATTTGCAAATAATATTTGCATTTTAAAATATCTATACAAGCATTCTTAAACCTGTGCCTAATATGCTGGAAATGGCTCTGTTAATGCTTCTTGTCATGTCATATTCAATTACAAATTCCATCACATAAATGATAGGCTATTTTCAATTTAAAACTGTGAAATTTGACAACAAAAAAAAAGGTTGAATGCTTTGCATTGGATATTACTGTTGGTTGTATGTTTCGCAAAATACATGTTGAATTTTAAATGTCTAGCTATTTACTTCAGACTTATTGATCGCTAAAACTAAATCATTGCACTGGAATTCATGTTTGAGTTCTGTGAACAGTAAACCCTTCCTTCTTTGATATGCTTTGCCATCTACTGACCAGTGCTGTTAGTCTGCAGAGACTATCCTATGAATTTAAATTTTAAAACATTTTGTCACCCTAATAACACAGAGAGTAGTGCGTAATGGAGTGCAGCAGATCGGCATCAAGCATGTCAAATATTGGAGGGGGGACCATATCTGATTATTTTAGTGGGGGTGGGGGGTGAGGGGCTTGTCCCCCTCAATGTCTATAGTGGTTACGACCCTGCATTAATTTAACAGAATTGTACATGTGTGAACAGGACCTGTTGCCGGAAAGCCAGTAAATCAATTTAAAGGTAATTTCAGACAAATTACATCATAACGGCACTTTTATGCTAATGTGTGAATTTGTATGTGTTTCAATACAAATAAAAGATGGAAAGCAGTTTGATTAAATACCACATGTTGTACAATTGCTGAAAATAGTACATTTAATTTGCAATTTAACAGGTTTTATGTGTGAAAGTGAAACAAATGTTTAAGGCCTGAATCATGAGTTTTCTCCACTGAAGAGCTGTTTTAAATTATATTTTTGTTTTTTCACCATCTAAACAATCAAAACCAAGGTACATCACAGTACAACAGTGAACAAACCTGTCCTTCGCAGTCTCATAGATGCTTGCATCAAATAAAATATAGCATTTACACTCAGGTCTATGATCACAATAAAAACCCCAAGGTCACCGTAGAAGGTCACCCTCCCACAGTAGAATGACTATTCTCAGGCAGAAAACAGTCATATTTACGCATTCCACCTCATACACTGCTATTACATGATGCTCACAACCCACCCGGCTCTAATCAACGACATGCACTAGCATTTGCATAAATGGCTTGAGCCAGCAAACCCATAATTCTTTAAATGTCCTCCCATCGTAACATAATTTAGGAAGCCATGAGTAAGCTGGTGAGGCAGACGGAGAAAACGACTCTCTCCCTCCCCTGCCATTCAAAGTCAGTGACGACGCAGCAGCCGATTGGTATTCTGTGTATGTTCTCATCAGAACCGTCCCTACAGACAAAACACCTTCAGCCCAGCCATGCCTACAGGCCCTCCGGAGGGAACGGTCACTGTGCTATTTACCCCCACTCTGACCTTTCACTGGGTACTTCGTCTCTGCTGCCTCCAGCTATGGGTACTGTGTGACCAACCTTTATCAACCCCTGGCTCAATGTCTGATCTGAAGATATTTCTCTAATGCCACGTTAGTGCATGCTTATTTCCATCGCAGATGCCGCTCATGGACCGCCTGTTGATATGCAAAGGAAGTGAGCAGGACTGACAGAGGAAGTGGTGCTGCGGCACTTTCAGCCTTAAATCACTCAGGGCCAGGGACGGGTTTGACTTAAGCATCACACTTCCTTTTTAGAGGTTACTGTAGGTATGGTAAGCAGGCTGAGCCAGAACTGATACATCAAATCAAACAAGCTAAGGTTTGCATTCGATTACTCACCCAGGCATGATGCACGAAACACAAACAGATGTGTCAAGACACGCTTTCACTTTGTTGGTTCACCTTTACTGTTTTATTCGTTCAC